CAACAATTCTTAACAACAACCTAACAGCAACCTCATCAACCAACCAACCTCGGCAATCATTAATGTTGTCAGTGTGAACATTCCGGCATCATAGAGTGAAACCAATCGAAGAGCAGTAACGTACAAAGAGGTCGTACATCTTTTGACTTTACCAGCAGGGGCCGAATAAAAGCGAAACACAAAACTTTTAATACCTAATTCCCTAGAGCAGTGAATCTGTCCCGTTCTGCTTCGATGCAAGCAGTCGACAGATGGGCCTCCTGTTCCCTGATATGTGCACGTAACGACCGCAACTGCCCGGTACCCACTTAGTCATCATCAGCCTTTTCCGATTCACTGCTACATGTAAGCTTTGTCAACACTTTGCCATAAACTTCTGTTTCCTGCCGTATTCATCAGTCTAGATCTAGCGAACTTTTTCAGCTTATCCCGCCATTGATCTGCGGGCTATTTACTTTCTCTCTCTGAACCCAGTCTAATCTCCAGAACTAGTTCAGGGACAGTCAGTCCTTCTTCAACGTATCTTCCTTATTGCCACTTTAATTTTTTCACTCAGGCAATAACATGGCTGACCCTAATTTGTGCTCTTTTACAATTCATTCGTCTTCTACCTTTTCTTGTTATTCCCAAAATATAGCCTTCCACGGCTTTTAGGTTTACGATCCATGCTTCGCATCCCCTACTCACCTGATACCTGACTAAAAATCAACACAATGTGTAAACAACAACAGACCGATACTTCATAATTAACAGGGACAGCACTGTCCAGTTTCCATACCCACGTTAGTCTCCTTCCAGCGATTTCATTTTGCCACAAGCTTCCATCTATTTTAGCTTATAATCTCATCTGATCCAAGGTCTTCTCACTGGACCATCGCAAACCAGTGGATTACCACAACGTCATTTCGAAGGGCCTTGCTCATCTGTTAGTCATGCGACATAGCCCGCCGAGCTGCACTTTGAGTACTAGGAACCATTTCATTCGATGTTGGAAAGGGGTACTGAATACCGTATGCGCTTGCCAGGCGTCTTCGACAAAAGAAGGCAACTTTCGCTGCCCCTCACCGTGCTCGAACTGAATTTTAGCTGAGGGCTCTCATGCTTGGTCCGCGCAGGGTTTACCTCGGCGAGTTCAAACACTGCCATCTCTTTTCCGGGCAGCTTCTACCACCCGGTGCGGACCGGTGTCTCGCTTCATTAAGGAAACTGTGCAAACAGTATGTTTAATTAAATGAAACTTACGTTAAATGAGGTGATTTAAGTTTACGACTGGTTTTGTTCCACTTACAAGCAGTAATTTGAAGGAAAAAATTTATAGACGTATTCATGGATGGCTGAAGCACAACGGCGATAAAAGTACGAGGAAGAGAAAATACTTAATACTAACTTACAAGTTTCCTTACTGATAGTAACATCATATAGTTCAAGGACCTGCAAGATTCATGGTTATGACCTGTTTTATAAGGTGCGGCATATCTTGCATTCCTCAGGCCATTAATTTCTAAACATTATGATTCTCTGCTGCATCTTAGCGCGCAAGGTCAGATACATTTTGCATTCAAGTCTGAAACTTTTAATCAATAATGATCATAAAAAATTTAGCATAAATCCCATTGCCAAATGTATTCAAAGCGAAATAAACATACAGATAATCAATGGCTGAAAAAATAATACATATTTTGGGTGAGGTTCGAATTAAACAGGCACAGTGTTTTAAAAACCACCCCAAGTGCACGTATAGGTATAAAACATAAAAACTGCATTCGCAATAATGCAACATGGCTATTTCCTTATTGCTGTGTCAGGTCTAAGCCAATTTTACCGTAACTCTGCTTAGACCAATCGATCTTCGTCCGAGTGACAGGAAGCTGTCGTCGCAAAGCTTTGAAAGTTGTGTCGCTCATCGTTTGGTAATTTCCAGACACAGCCACCTACAAAAACAAACGTATAGTTACCAGAACGATGAATCGGCAGCAAAACAATTTACCAAATTTACACTTACCTCTGAAAAAGGTGGAAATATGCAACGTTATTGAGTTACAAGAGGAAAACAGAGCGTGGGAGTTGCTGTTATTATCATTATTAAACAAGCAGAATTTTCCTCATTCGACGAGTTCATATGTTACTCGTACTATAAGTTCTCCATCTGTGCAACGAACATATATGTTGTCAAAGACAACACGGTGATGCAGATGTAGATCCATATACACAGGTACTTAAATATTATTGACCCCCTGACCTGTTTAAATGGTCCCCAATATCGCTAAATGCAAGAAAACGGTGCACTTACGTGCATAAGTCATTCTATTCGACAGTACTGGAATAAACCAGTTCTAGTTTGTTTTAAACCTAAAGTCATTATAGGCTGCAAAGCGAGAAATGAAGCATGGAAATTGTTGTTTCTAACATCCATCAGCATACTGAGTCGTTCGCGTCGGAACGTCGCCGGATTTGTGAAGTTCGCTGCATCATCCGCTTTTAAATACTTCTGCTATAAGGTAATAATTACAACTTGGCGGTAGAAACAGTTGCTCTCCAAACGCAGATCTGCCTTCTCTTGTTCCACAGAGTTTCACACTAGCCTCTTGGAAGAATCAATTTAAGGAAAATAGCCAAAAGCCAGCAAATTCTTAAAATATAGTCAGCGTCAGTTTTTGAAATGACTAAGTGTAATTCGGGGGGCGGATACCCTATTTAAAAATCTTATAGAAGATTATCAAAGGGCGCAGCACTCGGGTGGTTATATAGAAAGCCCGGTATCACTGTGCTTTTCAACCCAGCCCTGGATTTTATGCAACTAACGAAGGAAATGGACCATCGAGAAAACCTTTTAAAGGAACTGACGTCACGATCCAGAAACAATTCACTGATACTAAAAATAAATGAATAAATAAACGCAACAAACTTGAGTTGATGTGCAATTTGCTCACTTGATAAATGCTTTCTTCTTCTTCGATGATCTTGGCAACTTCTTTGGCGAAACTGTTAACGTCTGACTGAAAGGAGAAAATGATTATACCGGAAACTAAAATCACTATCAGAAATAAGGCAGCTCTTACGAGGTTTGACACTTTTCTCTTGACGTCTTTCGAGCTAATCAGTTGGATGTTGCCCTCCTCGTAATAATGAACACGAACTTTTATTAAACCCAGGATTTCGGTCGTCTTGTCTTCGGGTGAAAACGTTAATGACCATTGAGAACACCACTTACCATTGCTGAAAGGGAAAACAATATCAATCAACCAAACAAACTCTTCAAACATAAAAGAATGAACACAATGACAAAGTTTACCGCGTCTTTCAATTAAGTTTGCTTTGGAAATGATATGAACTACGTTACATATTATCAAACGAACGAAATATTTTTTCAGAAACTATTTCAATCAATATAACATTTCATAAGAGTGACTGTCAAACGGTACACGCAACGACGGTGCCATGCGTCAAAAAGTTTAGCTAATAATATTTCAATCACTGAACAGTGAGTGCTCTTTACCGGATATTATTACAATAACAGACGGAATCGTGCGTTCATAGTGACATAAACAAAGAGGAACAAAGTTGAAAGCAGTTTCTATGTCAGATTTCAAGGAACTGACCATGAAATCGCTATGATCCATCAAACACTTTCTAGAACTTCCTTCTACTTCGCATAGAAATAGACATATTGTGTTTGAAGGGTATGTAGTATGGTGAAAAACAACTTCCACGTGATTTATTTGAGCAATAATACGGGGGATAAACTTCAATCTTTCCCATGATTATCTGTCAGACTTCTCTTCTCGTCCGCCATTAAAACACTGCAATTCAAACGCCTGAAAATGATGATGTTCATATGACTAGCCAAAACAATGATACTGCAGTACGTATTAAATGAAGTGACGAAGATCATGGATCTTTTAATAAAATGTCCCTGTTTTCTGAAACAGAAAACCTTCTAGCTCTAAACGTACGAACTGCTGAAGATAACAAGAAGGAACTTCTGAAACTTATTCAACTCAACTTTGAAGAAGGCCTGTAAGACGTAACGCTGGTCAGTCATTCAATGACAAACTGTTTGCACTGTGCACAGATAAAGTGCGTTTGTGCTGCTTTTAATATGGCCACGAATGCAAGAATCAAAGGCAAGGTAATAAAGTAATACTTAAGGGAATAAGGTAATATTTTTAGGCAGTATTCTAAGACTATAGCAGGGCAATATTTTAGGTAATATTTTTAGTCAAGTAATAGTCAGTCTAAGGTAATATTTTTTACGTATGTCTGAGCACGTACCAAAAATTTTTAGGCTGGAACAAGTGGCATTCGATACAGACGATCAATTTGATTTGCCCACTAGCAGGGTCGACGTCCGAAACCACGATCGAAACGCCGTCTTTGTAGTGGTCAGCGGTATAGCTGTCAATTGCGGCCTGAACAGCCGAACGATGCGGTTCGACCTTCACTCGAATACCCATGTCATCGAACGACTGCACATCGAAACACTCTTTGCGCAGATGGTCGAATGAGAATATCTTCTTGTGCCGCTGGTCGAAGAATCGTCCATTATCCAACTCATTAAACTGTGTGACAAGGGACTAAAAAACATATCATATAATACATATCCATATACAGAGATCATATATAGACATGCAGATAGATTAGCGCAAATGCCATATAAGAAGTTCATTCGCATATGCAAAAAATTGTGCCATCAGCACAGAACAGCATTTCTGTAAAGCATAATACATATGTAAAAAAACAAAATGTCTGGGACGTTGCGACTGCAAGCATTATACAATGGAATGATCCTGATCCTCCAGATTGCCATCTATACATAGATGGCAGCATCGACATGCGGTAAACACTAGCGCGCGATAGAATGGCATTGACTTAGCTTCTAGTATATTAACACAAAGAAACCCGTCGTTTGAATTTAACATGTCAGGAATGGCTGTTATTCGTCAGTAACAGGTTGCCAAATCGCCATGTTTAACAGGCTATAGATGACGTTACCAGGTCGACGATTTTCTCGAGGCAGATTTTAGTTATAGCAGAAATAAACACGACGGCTCGACAAAGAACACGGAAATACCTTCTTTGTAAATTAACAAAAACCACTGAGCCGAACAGGGTAGTAGCGAAAACTTCAATAACCTCACGAGGTAAAAGGAATCGTTGAACACTCTGATTAACACAAAATTCGCCTAACCACACCAGTCTGGAGGTAATTGAAGTGAACCCGTCACTAAACTGCATCAGCGCTTATGATCAGTTAGTTTTCAACGGTTGTTGCTTGCTCAAACGCTGAAAACATATTTCCTCTCTTTGTGCTTATCGTCATTTTAAAGTTCTTGCTACTACTGATCTTCCAACCGCTGAACTGGATGGATCCAGAGCTCAACTATCATTACGGAACCTTATAACTAAGAGAAATCTTGAACGTCTCTGAAAACTGAGGTCAGTACCATACAATAAAAGCATCGAACAGGGCATTTTGTAGTGTTTTTGCAAAAACATTATCATTTTTTAAAAATTCATTTCATTTAAAAATCTTTGAACATTCTGAAATGCAAAACACAACATCTTCAATTAAGTGCACGCGAATGTGACCACCGACTTAAGCAGTCTTACAACACCGTTGCTACGACGCATCGGTTATCGTCCGTCCAACAAGCGAATAATTCGAACATAAAGAAACATCAATACAAAAAATCTTCTTCACTTCTGAGTAAAAAACTACAGTTATTATTTTAATGCAGTTTCACACGAAATATTTTTCTTGAAAACAAAACTGAAAAATTTCACAATTCACGACCTACCGGTTTCTGTCCACTCTCAGTCTTGACAGGAGTGAATTGGTCTTTATCATATTGGCGAAACGCCTGGGCACAACCGTCTCTTAGAAGCTGATCGTTATTAACCAAAACTCGAACATCTATAACAAAACAAGTAGTAAAATAATTAATTTTTGTTTTTAAATATCCGTACCGTTGAACACTTCATTGAACTCTCCCGGCGGCGCATGTACGATGAATTCAGAGGCGATTCGAGCCTAAAACACAATTCGATGAACAGCTCCAAGCTCGATGTCCATTCATTAAATAATTTTACTCTATCTTTGTCAGAGATCGTTTCGAAGCTTTCGGAAGGCATCCGACGAATTTTTATTTCAGCTTTACTGTATTGGTCGTAAGTGAAGAGTTATTAATTGTGAAGCATTCTGAAATAACAAATATTAAAAATTTATTGCTGTGCTACTCACAGGTCAATAACTACAACGAATATCAATGACAACGTAAAAACAGGAGTAGAAACCCAAAAGGTGGAAGTGAAGATGACTGCGACAACAACGTCGAAGGGGGAAAAACAGCTAAACTCGATTTTTCCTGTCATCTTCAACATTAGCCATATAACAACAGAGTTAAAACGCTTGAAAAGCCCGATGTTTACATACCAATGCTTAACGCTATGTCTTTTTTAGCTGGGAGGAAATGCATAAACGTTTCTACACTCATACAATTCACATGCAATCAGTATAAACAA